TCAAATTTATACTCATTAAAAAAATAAATTTAAAATTAAATATTATGATAAGAATAAAAAAAAATATTTAAATTTCCTATATATTTGAAATTAAAAATTATGTTCATTTGTTTATTTTTTTATGAAATAAGCTAAAATTTTTCTAAGAAAAGTGAATCCTCTTGTCGGTTTGATGATGTATATTAAAGCACTTTCAAAGAGAACATATTTCAAATTTGTTCAAATTTTAATTTTAAATTAAACTTAGTTCATATATAGCCCGTTGGAAGGTACGGTAGAATTGCGATTAGGATTTCACATTAAGAGTACATTGGGGGTTGCCAGATAGAATTGGCAAAGCTTCGAGAGTTGACATTGTAAGATGTGTAGTCTTCGTTGTGGTAATGACTTTGTGATGGGAGGAGTCATCGATGTGATAACATAATGTGAGGAGAATAAGATTTCAGGTGGGAATTCTTTGGGAAGGCAATGAAGAGTTGAAGCATGTGAGGAGAAAGAGGCTCGTAGTGGATGTGATCTTGGGGCCAGCGGCAATAAGTGGGTTTCTTGGGAAGGCATGTGGGCAAACATGTGTGAAAGAATGATCAAATAAGTTTGTGCTACATTTGGATAATATTTGAATAAGATTTTGAACGATGTTTGATTGAAAGCTAAATAGAACTTATTGAACTCAATTTGACGTTAATTCAACCTAGTTCACAAATGTTTGAATTCAAAAACTTTGAACAGATTTGCTCTTGATGGCTTTCTCCACGATAGTAGATGCATGATATTTTTTTAAGAATGGTTAAGTAGAGCAGGATAGTTATGTAGTCGAGACATAAATCACTACTTTCCCAGATATGCTTTATAGCTAGTTAGCACTCCCGAAAGAAGTGCTACTGTTTTTGAAAGACTTTGAGACAGTTTGAGATAGCCTCTGGTGCATTTTATATTTATAATTTTCTAAGTTATGGAGAAAGCTCATATGAGAAAGAATGATAGCTAACTTAGTAGCGATGGTTTAGTGGCGAGAAATCCGATAGTGGGTTTTTTTTTTTTTTTTTTTTGAAAAAGAGCAAATTTATGCTTGGAGATTTACAGAGAGGTGGACTTTTCAGTATATGCAGCAGTCTCTAGTAATATAGTGTAGTATTTATGATTTTATTAGTGGGGCACGTGTACAAATATATGTTATAAGCCATTATGGTAATGTTATAGGATGACTAGATAGTGCTTCAGATGTGATTAGGTAGACCAAGTATAGAGTGTCTACATGCATGATTTGACAGCATTTTTTTAGCAATTAGAGAGCTTTAATCAAACTGATAGGGAGACTGAGGGTAGTTTTGCTCTAGTAACTTTTTTGAAAGGACATTTGGTAGAGTTGTCTGGTTTTGTGGCAATAAGGCCATCAGAATTATTTAGAGAGAGGCGGTAGTTTTGATTGCCTCATGATCTAGTTAACACGTGTATATGTTTGATTGAATAGGAGAACTATGATGCTCCATGTATGATATGTACAATTTATATTTTTAACGTGTATATATCCTATTTTATTTGATTCTAAACTGTCATTTATTTATTTTGAGCATTTCTTTGATTTATGTACTTGCCTCATTATACACTGTTTATCTTTGCTATCTTATTATGTAGATGATATAAATAATAGATTTTATTTCTAATGATAGTAAGCTTTTTTTATAATGTGGAATCTAGTTAATTTTATTACCATTTTCTTAAATGATGTTATTTTTGGTTATAATATGTTGAGTCGGTGCAAAGTCTCAATTGATTGCTAAGAAGTGAGTTTTTAAATTTTGGGATATGAAGTATATATTTTCAAGGAGTTAAAGGTATTTTGTCTTGTCCGAATTTTTTTATGGAGCAGATATGTATATTGAAAGAAGGGTTGTATGATTTTCTGCATTCAATTTAGGATGTGAGTATAATTTTGTTTATCTTTCTGATTTCTTTGTTGTACGAATTTCTTAGTATATTATCTTCGGAGGAAAATCTTTCAGAGAGCTTTTGCTTCTTATCAGTCATACAGGGTATAGAAGGGTAAAATTTCATATTCAAAATTTCATATTTTTGTCTTCATTGTATAGCATTTTATTTTCTCTTAAAACATACCATTCTAATTTTTCGCAAGCAGGGCTATCATCATTTCAGTAATTCTAAAAATTTTGTTGTCTCACCATAACAAGGAGATATTGCAGACTCGAATAAACAGTAATTTCAGGAATTTAAAATGAGAAGCACAATATATAATTACATAAATTATTGATATATACATAGTATAAAGATAAACCATCATGCAACCCTTTCAATTCTACCATCTATTTTATTTTGCTGCTACCCTTTTAATTCTAAATTGCAGATATGTAGTTTGTGGCAAGTGGTAAATGATGGAAGTTCATGAATTGGAGAAACAAAATTCATTTCAGTTCCAGCATTGAACAGGATTCTCTACAGGAAACACTGCATCATAATTGTATTCAGCTTATGATCAATAACATGGATATTCGTATTAGATTAGTTTGACAATGAAATCAATTTGTGTAATGAAATTAGACATGACACACGCATTTTCTACTGTTTCATTAACTGGAAACTCATTTTCGGGAGTATAAAATAATTACAAAGACAATATAAAGCTGAGTATTATATTAACTTGAATAGATTCATACTGTCGCATACTTGAATATATATTATGAGTGAATAATTTCTCTTTGCATAAAAAGATATGCTAATATAGCAACACAAAATAGGCTTCGTTGAACGGTTTTTTTAACTGATTCTAGCAGCTTGTTAGTAACAAAGTAAAAATTCTTTACTAGGATTCATTGGGACGGCTTTCTTCTGCTTTTACAAGAAGCTTCTATTATAAAAAAAGCGCCAACAAAATAAAATTTTGTACTAGACAGCTGTTTACAGCAGGAGAAAGCAATAACAATGAAGCCTAGATTTCTTTATAATAGCAGATAGCTTCCAGAAGGATGAACAAATTTCCACAAAATAGAAGAAATAAAAGAAAATTTAGGATTTTTTTTTTTTCTGTTTTTCTGTGTATGAAAGGATGAAAACCATGATTACCGAATGGCATGTAAGAAAAAATGAAACAAACAATCTTTAACTTACTTATAGTGCCCAAAAGAAGTTCTCATCATCACATTATGGAGGTAAGTATTGTTTTTGATGATTGGACGAGTTTATAGTTTCCTGCAATCCGGTATAGAGATCTTAACATTCACCGTGTACTCAACGGTAACAATCTGCAAAAGATGTTATACTCATGAAGTGGGCTCAACTATTCATAAAGCATGGCTATTACTCGATTTGACTTATTATACATGGAATAGAGTAAATTCAAAATAGAAAGAAAGCAAAATGAGGATTCATAAAGCTGGCCTCAAATTTGTTGGATGGCTTATGAGGATGATGTGATGACAAGAAAAAAATTTAGAAGTATATAGAAGGTGAGATATTTGGTAGTTGTTCAACAAGGTATGCAAATCATCACAAATGCTTCCATAAAAGAAAAGAAAATTAAGTTTCCATATGATAAAAATAGTACATATGGCTCGAGGTCTGATTAAGGTTTCGTTGAGAACGGCTTTTTTATTGCTTCTTAAAAAGATTTTGTACTAAAATTCCTATTTTAATAAGGCAATTAAAAAAGTCGTCTAAACGAAGCCTAAATGATTCAACCATCACGATGAATATCATTATATATATAAGTGCTCAGTACTGGAATGAACCAATATGTGTCTAGCCAAGCTTTATGTGAAGTTTTTTGTACTAAAATCCTTTTTAAAGAAGCAATAAAAAATCGTCTTAAACGAAGCCCTAAGATGATCAACCATCACGATAAAATTATAATTAATATATATCAGTGCCAGTACTGGAATGACACAATACTGTTCTAGTACAAGCTTAGTAAAGAATTTGTCAACACATGGAAATAGGAATATTGAGAATTTCTTTTCTTATATAAGTGTCATCGTACAATATTATATGTAAACTCACACACATACTTCAATATCGTGTAAGGAATTATTTAGAAATTTACAACCAACATAAAATTTCAATAACTGTCCAAATACAATGGAATGATGAAAAATTTATATAACATGTGGTGGGGATATCAAGAGCCTGAACTTATTTTTTATGTTTTTGTATTGTCCTTCATGTTTTCCCAAACAATAGAGAAGAAATTAAAGATCCTGAAAGAATTAGCTTGGATGTAGAGGGGAAGTAATTGCACCACTAGATTCTTAAAAAACTTGTACCAATAGCTTGGAGTTCCATACTGCTGCCATGAGTTGAAGACAATTAGCATCTGGATTCACGGTGAATAGAAAATTGTGAAATTCCAATTGTGCTTGTGGAGATGAATAAACTGGATATATAGGAGCTTCACAAACGATCCTTCTGTAAATCAAAATGATTTAAATAAAAAGACCGCACAACATACATACGCCTATATTGTCATTGACAAAAAAGATGGTGCATAGTGCATTTCAACAACGTCAAC